CGCTAGCCTAGAAAGGCGACCATTTTAAATCTCTAACGCATTCCTCTAGCCATATGGGGATGTGACCATCATTCTCACATGCCTCTCTTCTCTCGACAACCTATAATTTATGAGATGTTCACGTATCCTTTCAATACCATTGTTACCGAATTTGTTTGTTCTCCTCCTGAAAGCATGCTATTACTTTTGTTATGGAACCATCTGACATAAGATTCGATTCAATAACTCGTAGAGCTCAGCAACTCCATCGATGAGGGATGGGCATTGAGTTTATCCGGTTACGAGCATACAATCTCACCTTTTTGTGCTCACTTCTTTCTTGAAAAAAACAAAGAAACAAAGCGATTAGTATTGCTGTAAAATGTGATCGATGACATTGCTCTAATGCGATTGTGATGACTGTATCATTTTTACAGAACGAAAGAACGATTTTTAAGGTCAATCAATCAGCGAGATGTTCATCCATTTATAAAGGTCAATTGCTGTGTAGCTGGCAGTGGCACTCGGTTCGAAACTAGATTTGTTGAAAGAGGAGAGGAGATTCAGTAGAATGTGACTGTATCAGTTCTGGATGATGATCGTATCTATACGAGTGGACCAGTGTCTGGTTTTAGGAGTTTTCGAGAGGTGGTAAATTTTGACANTTAGTTCTGGATGATGATCGTATCTATACGAGTGGGCCAGTGTCTGGTTTTAAGAGTTTTCGAGAGGTGGTAAATTTTGACATTATTTTAAGAATCATTTTTAGTTGAAAAAAAGAATGATTAACGAATTTTTTTGTGGGAATCGCAACAGTGATCAATTATAATGTTTATTTTATGGGGAATTTTTTTTGAAAGGTTAGGGTCTCTACAAGGAAGTTCAATAATTGAATAAACTGTTCATTTTTGATGGATTGTTATTAAAATTGTACGCGTTTTTTATTGTTTTGATGGTTCGTGACACTCGTCAGTGAAAAGAAAGCCATTGTCCATTACAATTATCATCATTATCAATATGAAAATTATCGTTGTTAAGACTTTTATCACCATTTTTCCTTTATCATTACCATATTTATCATAAGCATTGTTATTACTCTTATTATTATGATCGTTCGTATTACTGTTATTATGATCACTACTATCGTTGAAACTCTTTCGGAAATGTCCTCATAACAGAGCTTGATGCTTTCTTTAATTATCAACTGCACGTAATATTATGCCAGTTGTTCTCATCGCTGCTAGCATCAATATTCAGTCGACTTTTTTTTCAGTGCAATTACCATTTATCATTCTTAACGACAATCACTGCTACAAATCCGTATTGATCATTGTTGCGCTTGTAATAGATCTTATCGATGGTAAGTAACTTCCCACTGACATAATTCACTAATATAATTAATTCACAGATCGTCTTTTAGCCAACAAAAAATGTGCTTCACAACTGTCATAATAAGATTTTTAAAGCAATGATCATTATCCGCTCTCTCAAAGGATAATCTCGTTACCAAGCACACCTCCACGTTGTACCAACAGATAACAACCCGTTGTTTATAGATTAGTCGAGTGTTGCTTTCATATCGCTGAATGTAATAGAATTACTGCAACTAATTATAAGCTCTGCTTGTTTCTGACTTTATATTCCAAGAATTCGATCGAAATTCACCATGGATAGTGAATTGTCAAGCACAGAATCAAGCGTTCGTCTTCCGTGCTATTAAATCTCAACAAAGTGGTGTGCCGATCATTACACCACCGCCCCACTGCTTTCACCTCTTCAATTTACTCGCGTACTTTCTTTCATCTCAACGTGATACCTCCTAGTTCGTTCGATTTTTCGCGTTAGCTGTGATTAATTGCATTTGTTTGATGAATGAAACTCTCATGGCATCGATGTGCCGTGCATGCTTTGGGATGGTTGGACGTTTGCTTGTTCGAGAGTCATGATTATTGTTGGTTTTATGGTGTGAATGTGAAGAAGATCGATAAACGGATCTTTGTCCAGGTAGTTGTAGATATATGTCATCGAGTGAATAGCCAACGATGGCTAGCCTAAGTAATATGGCCGTGTCTATCCATCCATCCATCCAGCTATTCATTTGATTGCATGCTAATGTTTTGTGGTGTTCATATGTGTCTAAATACAATTTGAGAGGTTATTTGTTCATAAATATTTACATTGCATTGCATAATAACGAAATATATTTGTGGTTTTATACGTAATTGTGGTCGTCTTGAATGTTTGCCGTTTAACGTGTTTACTTTGTCAATGCTTATTGTTAGCATATCCATTCATCCACACATCCATCCGTCCATCCATCCGTCCATCAATAACTCCATCGTTTCGAACTCATTCATTCGTTCACCTTTAAACTGTTTATTCACCTCTATCAGTTTCATTTTTAGTCCCGTTCATCGCATCGTCTTTTTCGGTTAGAGATCAATTGTTGAAGATTTTTAATTGTGCAAATGTTTTTTAATGTATAATGCTTTACTTGGTGTTTACGGTTGTTTGCATTCAATGATGATCAATTTTAAGCACATTCATCAATAGCATTCCAAGATTCCTTTATGATATTCTTCACATTTCATAAAACGCTGAAAGAAAGTATATTAAGAATATCAAACGTATCGCTGCTCTTGGTAGCTAAACTGCACTTGAAAGTGAGTGTTTTTATAGTGGGTTTTGGGAGGATTGGAGAATTTTAGGTAGTTCGTCATCGTTTCCCTGTCCCCATCCCAGACTTTTTTCGAGCTGATCGCGTTTTCGGGATCCCTAACTTTCCCTGTTACCTGCTCTTTTTCCGTTCACGCCACACAGTAGTTGATACCGCTCAGCTTATCACCTCTTATCGGCTGTAATCGCCATCAATCGATGGTACGGTGAAGAACCGAAGTACGTGCACTTGTCTGCTAGCAATTTAGCAGATGTGATGTACGGACGGGTTAATGCATAAAGTGTTCGAGTGAATCGATTAAGTCAAGCCAATAGTTCGTATTTCACAGAAATAAACACGCATTATGGTACTTAATTAACATTGCAACATTATCTGTAAGCAAATGACGCACTCTTCATCGCATGCGTCCGTATTATGTCAGCATTTTTTTGGAAAGAATTT